ACGACCAGCTTTACCCATGCAATTCTCATATACATCTAAATTAAAGGAAAGCAATAATCCTTGCAGTTCTAATTGCATAATGAGATATGTTAATTGTAGTATTTTCTTTACACCCACATTAGTTTATTTTTGGCCTCCAGAAGGTGTCCTAATTTCCCCATGATTTATAAATATGTCCGTGGTATTTTATGTACCGTTGATCCATAACTCAGAGTCAATCCGTGACCTCTCTCCCATTAGGTTCAATGAAGGTCATGCTGTCAATGTTGATTCCGGATCTATGGGAAGAAAAGCTGGTGACAGGGCGGGTAATCGCTGCTGAAATATTCATATAGAGAGACAAGTGTTATGTAATATCACAACAGCCATTTGACAGTGTTCATTAGAGTGGATGGTGTCATTGCAGGCAGCAGGGTGACAGAGACTGAGACAGACTGTGGATGACAGGTCACAAGTGGATGTATTCTTCCGACTGTATAAAACAAATGTGTCCTTGGAGCAGCAGAGGAGTGGATGTTGACGAAATTCAATCCGCAATTATTTTGATAATCAATCGTTTAAGGGATTTTTAAAAAGCAAAATTGCGTCACATTCTCTTGTCTCGCTCCTCAATTGGGAGGATTTTCACCTTCTGTTTGTCTTATGTGATAATTAACAATATATCTTTGGATATTGGATTGTTTGGATTGTTGATCAGACCAAACAAGACATTTAAATATGTCATCTTGGGCTCTGTGCGATAGCAAACATGCAATTTTCTGAAAATGTATAATTGTAAGCCACCATATTTATATACACTGTTTGCAACTGTATAGATTGCAAGTGTACCTTTTATTTTTATTGTGCACATTGCGACCCAGCCTTACTCTAACAATGGGCGTTGCTGTCTTTTAATTTTTCAAATTTGAAATTGGCATTTGTTCATTTGACAATAGCTCTATTGACATCAATCCATTGGCATTTCCTATTAGAATGAAAGTAATATTAGAGAACTTTATTGTATGTTGCCTGTTAAAAAAGGCCCCATCGCAATAAAGTATGTTTTTTACTGTTAGCATACAATATATTACATTATAGAATCAGGAGTGATACTATAATGTTAGCCATCCATATTTGACAGGTCTATCATTTCCCCAATTAGACAGAAAAGTATTTGTAACCTCTCAGATACAGATAATCAATTCTGAAACTAACCAATTTCATGCATAATGATTTTAGGTTTGACCCACAGTCACATGGTCCAGTGGCATCATCTCATCCTGGAGCAGGTGTATCGCACTCACTGGGGTGCCGAAGCAAAGAAACAGATTCACCACTAATTGGAGGGATGTTTGGAATAATTATTAAATGACAGCAGGAGCAGCGGCAGAGTCACAGAGGCAAATAATGTGAAAATTTAAGACTTTAATTGAATGTCAGCAGGATTCTGCAGGCCACATTGACCGTCATGTAATGAGATGTAGGCAGCTGAAGGGCACCCCTCTCCGGATACAGAGGGTGGGGTGCAGACTGGCTAAGGGGGTGATGGGATGGCCCCTGTCTCCCTGGAATTGCCTTAATGATGTCCTCATATTATGACATTATGTAATGTGCTCTCCAGTAATGTTTAGTCAGCCTTAAACACCTCAAGCCCCGCCAACGGTACAAAACACGACATGAAACTGTGTGTGTGTGTACTTTGTATATGTCTGTGTGTACATGTACATACTGTATACGTTGGAGTTATTTTTGCCTGGATGGTCTCAAAATCAATGTACATTGTTTCTACAGGAGCTATAGATTTTACTTTCAGTTTGCTTTACAAAGGAAAGTCAACTGGGAATTTGTAAATGGGACATTCATGACAGAGCATGTCACAATAGGACTTTCATGAGTGAAATGTTCAAAGATGCTGAATAATTCCTGCAGAAAAGAGCTTGTTTTGTACTATGTATTTGAGGACACACCTGCGTATTTTCCCTTTTTTTTCAGCTCAGTTAGAGTCACACATGGTGCCCGGTGACCTGCTTGTATGTATTGTTTCTCTCCTCTTAATACCCGACTGTCTTTGCGTATCACAGAGGCCACATTTCAGAAGAGTGCGTCATAAAACCGAAGGCCTGTTCATATGAGAGGCAATGAATCACAACAAAAATCACCGTTTAGAGATGCATAACAAATACACAATGACACTTATTATGTCTGCTGGGGTTTCCTGTCTTCTTGACTCATGTAGTCTCAGATAAAAGTCTCAAATAAATATTGCAAAGGAATTTACTTTAACAACAAATTTTGGGAACTTTAGTTTTGCAGCGGTGTACTTTTTGGAGGTTTCAAATCTGAACACCCCACTAGGTTCAAAGTACATCAAAGCTCTGACTTCAGTGTGGACTTACCAGGCTCTGCAAAATTGCAGTAATGAGGGTCTAGGCTCGATCCCCAGCTCAAACCGCCGGGGGTCAGAACCTGCTACCGGAAAATTTTTGTCTGATGGGCCAGCGGCTGCAGGAAGTGATTGCGCTCGTGAGGATGTATTTGTGATTACACAATGGAGGATACTCAAAAGAACTGACCGGCCTGCAGCTGATGCCCTGCAGACCAAGGGCCAACACGAGAAACACACATGTTGGTCCTGGCTTTGCTTCGATGCACAGGGGAAAGAGCGGCCACTTGAGAGTTCCATGGAGCCAAAGTAACAGCTGTATTCTGTTTCTATTCACTTTCACACACAAAACCGAACAAAATGCAAAACATTTTTCTCATAGAGTGCTTCCTCCTTTAACATATATTATGCTTAATAATTAATTAATATATACTGTATACAATCAAAAAGCCTTTCTAGACATGAGATGTGGTATTAATGCTATTTATAATGCCCTCTTTACCTTCCAAAGAGAATTTTATGAAAGGCCACATTTTTGATCAAAGTGTCATTGATTAATTGATGTATTGATCTGGCCGAGGCCTGCAGCACTCCCGTTAGTGAAGGCGAGATTTATGCGGGATCAGTCACAGTTGACTTGACTGACCTGGTTATTGAAGCTAGCGCTATTTTTAGCCTGTCTCCCAGTGTGGAACAATGGAAAAGATTGGCCACAATCTATCAGTCAAATATTGTGCAGGTGAGGTGCAGTGGAGATGTCATCGTCTGTCACAGGGTGATAGGACTATGGTTATAGATTTGTGTAGTATTTGCTTTTTTATTACACAAAAGTAGCATTGTTCTACTCAAGAAAAGACCATCTGGAGGTTTCAGCAGAGCAAAGCTATGGAAATAATGTCTATGACTCTATGTGTGCAAAATAAAGCATTTGTTTGGGAGGATAAATCTACAATATTGAAAGAAAAAAAAGCGATCAAATCTTATCGGGGTTGCCTTGACTTCTTCAAAGTCTCCTTGTCAAGCAGCGTCTCCGTCTCTTACATGACATACAACGCATCAGGGAGCCATGACTGGAAACCAGTGACATCGAAGGTCTTGAAATTTGGCCCCAGTTAGACTTTCACTTGACATTTTGTCTCTCTGCGTCAAGTCATCATCATGTGTTTCTCTTAGACACACATTAGATTCACTTTACACATACAACACACAAAAACATACAATATGTGTTTGTTTGACTTTTTTTTACTCTCAAGTTTGAAAAATTGCTTCTGGTTTTGCCTCGATGCACAAGGGAAAGACGAGTCCAAAGAGCGGACATTTGAGAGTTCAATGTAGCTGAAAGTAACAGCTGGGTTCTGTATAAATGTAGTGGTGAGAGCATCCCTCGTAGATGGAGAAGTTTTTTTTTTAATTTGAAAAAAATAAAACCTTCTTACAGCAGTGAATGTGAATGGATATTAAGGCTTTTTACCCCCAGCTGCTCTGCTCAAGTAGCTCAGTGGTCACCAAAACAAAGCTGCTGTCCGACATCACATTGGAATTTATATGATTTTACTCCAAAAAGCAATGAAGTTAATGTTATATCCACTGAGAAGTGACCTCCCTGCCATGTAATACTTTTATTGGGTCAAGTTTTAGGGAGGTACAATTATTCATGAGTCGTTTTAGTCAGAAGATATATGTAAATATTGATTGCATAGCTCAAGTTGATACCTTAAAATTCCCTTTTTTGTGTCATACATTTATTAATTAATGGATAATTACATAAAACAAGGGAAAACAGCAAATCCTCACATTTGAATGTTTGGCATGAAAAATGACTTAAGTGATTCATTGACGACGTATATACAATAATATACAGATGCACTAGAGGTAATAAAGGTAAGTAAAGGGAATTTAATATACCTTAATTAATATTATTACTGAGGGTGTAGCGAAGAGAATAAGTAATAGCAACAATACATTTTTAATTGACTGTTTTAAATGCATCTTCGTTGGATGATCAGTTATTTGTTGATCAGTTGTTTGTTGATCGTATGTTAAGGAATTGAGTCAGTTACACATTTTGGAGGATTTCAAACTTTTTTTAATTGCTGTCTAATTTATGTATTAAAAGATGATGAAAGAGCAGATATACTGTATATAGTGCAACATGCTGATATTGTTAAAATTCACATTCATGCCCAGCCAAACCAACCAAGAGTAAGAATAAATAATCTCCATACCACTGCAGCTAAAATATAACACAATTAAAATGTGCACTTCGTTCACACAGTGGTAGAAGTATTCGGAACTTTAAATTAAGTAAAAAGTACAATATAGTTGCCTCCAAAATGTAGTGGAGTAGAAGTATTAAGTATAGCACAAAATGAAAATACTGCAGGCTACTTGAGTAAATGTACTTCGTAACAACCCAAATCAGTATTTTAGCGTTAAACTGGGATTCACGCAATGTGTTCTCTGGGATGGGAGTGCAGGCAGAGGATGGGGTGATGGAGGGGTGGAGGGGGAGGATTCAGCCTGTGGGAGGGAGGGAAATAAGGAAGGGGGGCGTGGTGCTGAATGAACAGCTCCTCGGCGCATAAAGTAATCAGAGAGCTTCTCTGCTCCGCGTCAGAGCAGCGGAGCCATGAGCCAGCCGAGCTCCCCGTCCTCCAGACCCGCGCTGACACTCCGCCCGTCCCCCTGACACGCACCACACCACCATGAAGAGGCAAAACGTGAGGACCCTCGCCCTCATCATCTGCACCTTTACCTATTTGATAGTCGGCGCCGCGATCTTCGACGTGCTGGAATCCCGGAAGGAGACGACCCAGAAGGGGTATCTGGACCAGAAGAAAGAGGTTCTGCTCAAGACCTTCAACCTGTCCACGGAGGACTTTGACAAGCTGGAGAAGGTGGTGCTGGATTTGAAGCCGCACAAAGCTGGGGTGCAGTGGAAATTCGCCGGCTCGTTTTACTTCGCCATCACAGTGATCACCACCATAGGTAAGACACTGAGATTATGTCTCGCAACTGCTAAGTAGCGCACAACAGGTGGAAAGCGGTACAAATCCCCATATGCTTCAATCAGATATCCTTTCTTGATTAATGGGTATTCAGAAAAGTAAAAATAGCTGCATTTAAAAATAATTATGAATTACTCTAAGTATCTAAAAAATAAAGTACTCATGGTGCAGAACAAATGGCGGCGTGAGTGTTTTATTATTATATATTAGCCTGTATTGTTTTAATGCTACATATAATTTTGCTGTTGCAGTTTGTTTGCTTACAGTTTTGTATAGGCCTGCTGTGTAGTCTAATCAATAACAATGCATCTTATTTTATAAGAGCATCCTATTGTTTTGTGTAAAATCTGAACGTGCAGAAACTAGCATCTGTAGCTGTCTGACACATGTTTCAAAATGCATAGAAAGTGGAGAAGTATAACGTAGAATTAGATGGAAATACTTAAACAAAGTACACAAACCAATGATACTTACTTGAGTACAGCAGCTGAAGACATAGAAAACATGCATAGGTACGGAACACAATAAGACATGCTATAATGATAGAGGTAATACCATACAATTCCTTATTATTTATAAATTTATTACGCTCTAAAGTCTGATAACATGGCATTAAACTTCCTATTTACAGGATGATTATAAGAGCGACAGCAGAGAAGGTTAAAAATACCATAAATAAGACCATCTTACATAATCTGAGTTAAATTTATCACATCAGCGTGAGGTTTGAAACCCCTGTATTGCAGTGTTAACATGTGTATTGCTTCATGCTCCAGAGATATGAGACCTTTTTTTTTAAAATTGAACCCAGACAAACAGGTTATCATCAGAGCCTTTCATACAAGGGCATTTTATCGAATTGTGGCATTGAAAGGGGTTGCATCAGAGTCAAAATTGCAGCAGCAAAGTCAAGGGCTTATTGAGGACAAGCTTCTCTCCAAGCTCATAACTAAAGGTTGTTTTTGGAGAAGATGCTCCGGGAAACTTAAGTTATGAGACATTCATTTGCCTCTTCTCTTGTGCTCTTACTCATTATTCCTGCTCCAAAAGGTCCTGCAACACCACAGAGCTCCCAGCTCTTTACTCACTTTATCACATAGCCTTTAATCTGAGTTTGTTATTTAATTTCAACTTCACTCTGCTATTTGCATAACACTCTGCTTGTAGCTACAACTCCAGAGTAGACTTAGTCAGACATGTTAAATATTGGAAGACAAGAGCAACCAAAACAAAATATACATTGTTTTCCTTTGTCTGATAATTTGTCATCTTTAAGTTTCCACCTTTTAAAGCAGCTATATGTACGTTTAGTAACAGCGACCACTGAGGCCACAGGTGGTAATTACAGGCATTGAATTTGCCTTAATTTCTCTTAAATAAGTTGCTTTGAAGACGTGTTTACCTGTGACAAACTAGAACACAGTGTAACAGGAGCACAAGTAGAAAAAGGGCCATGAAGTCAGCATCTAAAGTTTGCTAACATCATAAACTACTGGTCATACCAAACCAAGTAAGACTGAAGTAGCTAAATACTTGAGCGTATTGACTTGATAAATGTTGCATTTTACTGCTTATAAATTCAGCTATTTATTTATAAGAGGGATATTGTGTTTTTATTCTTATTTTAGTCCCATTGTCTCGCTTTAACATCTCCTTTTCATCCCCTAAAAAGCTGTCCTAATTACCTCCTATCTGAGTCTTCCACCTGTGTTTAGTGGCCGGGGCAGTGGAGGCCACTAATTGTTCACTAACCCAAGCCCGGGTGTCTGTAACCGCATTTTGTAATTGTGAGCCCAGCGACTGCTACAAACACAGTGATTGGCGTTTCAGCCTGCCATTACGTATTAATGACAACACCAGACCCTCGCTGTTCCGTTGTCCTCCTGGCACACAACATTAACACTGTAGATACTGTACACTCAATATCATGCAGCCATGACTTGCAGTGAGGTCCAAATGCTGAGCCACGATATGAGGGTGAACCTTTGAAGCTTTTATTTGAAGCTAAATCTGAGCCATAGATGTGAAATGTTAAAATTGTTCTCATGATAAAAGAAAGGAGAAAACTATGTATGTCACCAACCAAAATACAAGAATAAACATGAACCTCTTATTTCCTGTCATATTCTTTGAAATTATTCATAAAGTCATTTTAAAAACGAGGCCTCAGGACATTCAGATCCAACACAGGAAACCCCTAGGGACCAGAGTGCTAGAGATGATGTAAAAACATGACATGATGTTCTCTGTATGAAAAATCTAGTAAAACAGGTAACAAGTCAGTCTGAAACTGACTATTTTGAAATTCATATTGTATACAACACATTGGGTATCCACATGAGAACACATCATTTCCTGGGAAACTATGACCACATTTTCCTATTTCTAAAATGCACAACCGCCAGTGGAAACCAACTAACACATGACAAGATCTGGCCCAAGCATGCTCTACTAATAATTTAGCCTAAGTAATGGAGGGAGGACAAGTCATCACTTTCCACAGAGGAAAGAGGAGGCAGAGGACAGGGTGTCCATTTACTCACCAAGTGTGGAGGAGTCCAGAAGAGCACACGTCTGA